CTCTTGTACTACAACTGCTTTTGCTGTGCACTTGCAGTAGTTTTATTTGGGTAAAACCTGACCCTATCACAAAGTCTTCTAGCTAGTTTTCCAATTTTAATCTCTAATCTTCCAATTTGATTAAAATGCTCAAACTAGTGCGAGCAATGTCCCATTATAACACCAATGGAGAAGTTACAAAAAAATGATCTCCAAGAAGTCGGTAGTGATCTTTAGTAAGAACTCTCGCTGCATGTCTCACACAATTAAAACTCTCTTCCTAGATTTTGGTGTGAACCCGACAATCTATGAGGTAGACAAGATCAACAGACCAAAGGAGATAGAGCAAGTATTGGCTCAGCTCAGCTGCAGCCCAACCGTGCCGGTGGTGTTCATAGGAGGGCAGCTCGTTAGTGGAGCCAATCAAGTCATGAGTCTTCATGTCAATCGCTCTCTCGTTCCAATGCTGAAGCACGTTGGAGCGTTATAGCTTTGATAAAATATGAAGAAATACTTACGTAAGAATGTAATTTGATAATTAATAAAACATATTTTTGAAATGACTTATTTGATAATTTTATTATAAAATATGATCTTTCTTAATTTAATTCATAAAAGGGATTATGTAAGTGTTGGAGCTGGATTTAGCACCAAATTCAGCTCATTATAAAGCCCATTAAGCAGTCACCTGAAACCCAACTGACGAGCTCCCGCCAATTAAGGATACTCTTCAAGACTAAATCGAGCACGACTAGGCGAGGTCCTGTCATATCCGGAGCTCGATCCAGCAATGACATCTGAGATATCTGGAGCTCGTTACAACTAATCTCCGATATTCAGGCAGCAATTGGAGTTAGAAGAAGGTTATAAAACGAGCAGATATGGGGGCAGAACGAACGGGATCTAGTTTTACCTAATTTACAACCTGTACGATCTATGAGCTCCCGTATTCTTACATCTTTTTACCTAATCATCTTTTTACTTACTGAACAACTTATATGCTCTACGAGCTTTTGTATTCTGATATACTCATCATTTATATTCGATCTCTTATCTGATCAATAAAGTCTACTTTATCTGTTCTTGAATCTTAAGTTTTTTGGTTCTAGAAGAGATTCTTCCCCATCGTCTCCCTAATTTTATTAAACACTTTACAAATCTTTGAGTGTTGATATCTGCATCCACAGTAAGTAATAAAAGAATGACAGAAAAAAACATTGACATTTTGTGTATGAATATTTTGTCTATTTAAGTTTTCAAAGGATAGATTATAGCGTATGAAGAGTACCTATTTTGTAACGCAATGCTATATATTTTTCAATAAAAACAGTTAGTACTGTTTTCTCCATGTTTATATTTATACATACTTTTTTATATACTTTGTATGCGGCATAGCAAGTGTAAAGTTATGTAATGAATAAACTATGCTATTTAAACCCCGACCGCTTAATGCATAACATGTTTCAATACAAGAAATTAAAAATTAGAATATGAAATATTTCCATCGTAAGAAAAATGATACTACTACTTAATTTACAAGCTAAAAGTGTGTTGTTGTCACTTGGAGTGGTGCATTGAGCAGTCGGGTGCAATGGATTTGGATTTGATAGTCTCAAGTCGTAGTGAGTCATAAGAAATAACATTCAACTCTATGAAAACAGACAAGTCATGTATTGAAAACTACTCAATAGACAGACATTTTTACGAGAGTTTGAAGTGGTCGGCAACTCGGCATCAGGGTCGGCCGTGAGATTTCTTGAGATTCTGGGTTCGGGAAAAATTAAAAAATAAAAATTGTTATTATGTATTATGAAAATTAATAGAAAAAAATACTCGAATATAAGAAAATACAGGAAATGCTTTTAAATAACTCATTACAGGAAAATATTGTTAAACATATTATTTTTTTTACAATAATTTTAAATATCAGTGCTACATTATGCCCATTTAGATTTAATTAGATTTTTGTAACTAAATTTGCGTAAATTAAAATGTTTATTTACCATTTAACCCTAGCCAGTAGTAGTTCAGCCCTTGCAATGTCGCTGCTTGAAAGCAAAGGCTACATAGACTAACGCAAGAAGAAGAAGTATGGTAGATGAGAGGCACACCTAGGTCATTTTAGATGATCAAAAATTGTAGATCACTTCCTTTATAAGTGGAGGTTATTGATTTATGTAAAGAAACGGATTTCGACCATATTTCTTGTATAATTGGGGGTTATTGGTTTATGTAAAGAAAACAATGTAGAGACGTTAGACAAGCGTTTCGCGGACTGCTGGCGAATATATATTCCTCTCGCAGGTGAGAAGCGGAGGCTGTGCAGACTAACTTCACCTTTGACTACTATTTTATTCTGTGACAATTTGGCTAAGACATCAAACACGACGTGCCGTAGTTTCTCTCGGATAAATGTAACAATAATGTCATATTGTTACCAGATAAACTCGGTTTATAGGACAAGACAAGGACATCCCATGTTTGAGAATGACAAAAGACTGCACATTTTTTTTGGTGGGATGTGTTTGATAAACGCACAGATGACAAGACGCAAACGTTAGATAGGCGTCTCGCAGACGCAGGTGAGAAGAAGAGACTGCCCATACTCACTTCATCTTTGACTACTATGTTATCCTATGATGATTTGGCCAGTTAAAATCAATCGAAAGGTGTCGTAGTTTCTCTCGGGTAAATATCGCAAAATGTTATATTATCACCAGATAAAATCGGGTTGTGGACAAGAAGATGAGAAGACAAGGGCATCCCATGTTTGGCGAGACACATACATTAGACAGGCATCTCACAGACGTAGGCGAGAAGCAGAGGCCGCACACACTCACTTCACTTTTGACTACTATTTTATCCTGTGATTATTTGGCTAGAAACATCAAACACGATGTTATTGGGGGGAGGGGGGGGGGGGGGTCACAAAATATTATATTGTCACCAGATAAACTCGGTTTGTAGGACAAGCCGATGGCATCCCATGTTTGACGAGATTGATAAAAAAAAAACTGCACCGATTTTTTTGTGGGACGTGATGTTGATAAACGCACAGATGTCGAGCGCAGACGTTAGACAGGCGTCTCGCGGACGCAGCTTAGAAGTAGAGACTGCGCCGACTTACTTCACTTTTGACTACTATTTTATCATGTGACGATTTGACCAATTGAACTCAATCACGAGGTGCTGTAGTTTCTCTCGGGTAAATATTATAAAAATGTTATATTGTTGGACAAGAAGAGAAGAAGACAAGGGCATCCCATGTTTGACGAGACACGGACGTTAGACAGGCGTCTCGTGGACGCAGGCGAGAAGCAGAAGCTGCGCAAACTCACTTCACATTTGTCTGCTACTTTTTATACTGTGATAATTTGGCGAGTTTGAACTCAATCAAGACGAATAATTTTTTCTTCTGACAATTTGGCAAAAACCTCAAACACGATGTGTCATAGTTTGATTATCACTAGAGAAAATCGATTTGTACATATCAGTTTAGCATAACCGATTGACGAGGGCATCTAAGATTTGTAAATGAAGTGGCAACACTTGTAAATATATGAAAAGCATATCATTTGGTTTAGCGGTTTCAATATAAACATAAATAAATAATAATTTTATTATTCTTTTGAAAAAGATTAGATAAATTAGATCCCTTTCTCACAATATTTCAAAAAATAATTCTCTATTAGAATTAAAATTGCAAAACGAATTATTTAAAAAATATCTCTAAAAAATATTACACAAAGCACTATTTTCCAAAAACAATGTTCAAATTAATGAATTGGACTAATTTATAGAAAAAAAAATCATGCGTCCATATTAAAAACCATGAAACATTAGTATTACATGGTCCACTGATGTTCTGCATTTCCTTTTGTGCTACATATAAATGAGAATTTATACATCCAAAAAATAATTGAAACTAACATTAATGACAAATATGTCCTTTGAATCAATACTTATATATATTTAATTAAGGGTATAAGTGGTATGGCGCAATTATGGATCTGGATGCGATGCGATAATATGTCTTTACGTAAGACGTGTACGGGCTACGATTACATTGCAAGTTGTAGAATAACGGTTCTCTGGATCACAGTTAGGCCATTTTTAATTTGTTCCTTTGAGCCTTATCTTCGTGGAATGAGATCGAATCTTTGCGATGTCAAGAATCATACAAAATTTAACTTTATTTCAAATCGATGTATGCAGAAATTTTCGTGAGAATAAAGAAAATGTTTTGACTGTAAGTAAAAAGTCCACGTAAACCATCTCACACAGAAAGAAAAAAAAAAGGATTATTCTAGGGTTATACCATAAGATCGATCTTGAGTCTTCGCAAATGATGAAGATGCAGATTTTATCATGTGTATATGTCAAAGGCCAGGATTTTAAGATTTTATATACTACATGATATACATCTTGTTTCATCATATGTAACTTTTATAAAATATTGACTTAATTAGGAATGTCCAATCCAAGTTTATGTGATAATATATATATATATATGTATTCATGTGATAGAAGAAGAAAATAATGTATCTATGTGATACATATGTCATTTTATGAACTATGAAAAGAGAAATCGTACTATCAAGTTTCGTCCGTATCAAATATATATTTTTTTTTTTATGAAAAGGGCTCCGTATCAAATATTCCTCACATCTTATCTAAGAAATTTTGTTATCTGTACGTTTTACCCACTAAATTGATAGTTACACTTTTTTATTCTCTAGCTGCAAGAAGCACAGAAGCTAAAGTTGATTCTCGTAGAAAATGGTCCTTCAAACTTAAATCCGTAATATGAAAGCTTACGTACCTTAGAAAGCTATATAAATCCCCCCTCATAGACCATTTCACTTCATCAAAAACATCAAAACAAAGATATCATCACAACCTCTTTATAAGATCTCTAGCTTGTCAGATTTCATCCTTAATCTACCCTTTTGATTCAAAGGCACCACATTTCATCATTTGCAATCTGCTTTTGGGAAAAAAAAATTCACAATATAAAACTCATGGATAAGCTACAGAAGATGATCTTCGAGAAGTCGGTAGTGATCTTTAGCAAGAACTTGTGCTGCATGTCTCACACAATTAAGACTCTCTTCTTAGACTTTAGTCTGAACCCGACAATCTGTGAGCTAGACAAGATCAACAGAGGAAAGGAGATAGAGCAAGCATTGGCTCAGCTCGGCTGCAGCCCCACTGTTCCAGTGGTGTTCATGGGAGGGCAGCTCGTAAGTGGAGCCAATCAAGTTACGAGTCTGCATCTCAATCGCTCTCTTGTTCCAATGCCTAAGCGCGTTGGGGCGTTATGGCTTTGATTAAGAGATACGTACGTAAGAACGTAGCTTTGATGATTAAAACTAATAAAAAACATATACATGTATGTAATGTATGAATTTTTTGTGTATCTAAGTTTTTTTTTTTTTTTTTGAACATTTTGTGTATCTAGGGTTTGAAAGGATAGACTATGAGCTAATGTTTTAAGGATATATTAGAAGCTTTGGAATATTTTATCACGTGGGCATATTTTATAATCATATGTTGGACTTATCCTTGCCATGTTTATATCTATATTTTATATATGCATGCGGTATATACGGGTATAGGAATTGTATAAACATGCATTGACTTGACAATGACTTATATATTTCATCAGCTCAGCGTGAAAATTATTAATTAATCACATTGTTTTCGGAACCAAATTCCAAATTTCCAATCCGTAAATCGTATTCCGATGATTTGCTTTAAAACTTCGGATATCTAGATTTGGCGGATCCAGATCCACAAATGTAAATCTATTTTTATAATAATAAAATATATTAAATTTTTCAGTTGATATTTGTTGGGGTTAATATTTTTGTTTCTTAATTGATGCTATTATTATTTCTCTTTCAAATTAGATTAATTTCTTAACATAAAAACGGGCCTTTTGATACTAAAAAAACAAAAAATTGAGCTCATTAGTGAGAAAACAACAAAACAATGGGCTCTTTTTACAAAGGTTTTCTGGTCTTGGCCTTTGGACCATCGCACCTCTGCCCATCCTTTTGGGCCGGACCTGCTCGCTGTCTCTAATACTCCGGATGCTCTCGATCTCTTGTGCGGAAAACCGGTGGGACTTTTGTAATGTATTTTGAGATTTGAATAAACCGTGGGAGACTTTGTTTCCTACCTTCGACCAAAAAAAGAAAAACTTATAAGAGAATAAGTTTAGTCCTTGTATATTAAACCAGTTGGTGATATGCGTTACATACTGGTGTGTCAATTATTTTAATACATTGTTGTACACTATATTTGTTGTATTATATAGCTGTGGATTTTTCTGATGGATACCTTTTTCACATGTACTCTTCTCGAATTTTTTTGTTTTATACCAATTTTGATAGAATATTATCAAATTTAGATATTTTTTTCAAACAACTAAAAATAATAATATATACAATATAAGATCTCCAAATTATCCATTTCAAAGTTTTAAAATTATATGTACTTTTCTGAGTTTGTCTAATATATTTTTTGCAAAGTTAACCTTTACCAAAATTATTAAGAGTTTGAAAAAAGATTTTAGATAAAGAAATTTCCTAAATTCATCCCTTTACCCAAACTTTTCATTCTGTTTTTTATCGTATTTCTTTTAAGAATCATTTTTGCTCTCCCAAATTATCCATTTTTGTCTTATATCTGTAAATTTTTGTTTTGAATTGTGGAATGCCATTGGCTAACGTTTATCTTTGTTTTTGTTTTCTTTTTAAATTTATTATGTGGTTGTTGATTTTTCATATTCTTACAACCTTTAATAAAAGTATGTTTATGGTTGCTATTTTTATAATTCTAAAACTATAATTCATTCTATATATTGTTTTCTAAGATTATAATCAGTTTAAATGGTATGTTGTGTTATAAGAAGATTTAATAAAAAAAACTGGGCATAGTTGTACTAGAGTCACTAGATCACAGGTTGTTTTGTCCTTTGGCTGGTGTTATGTTGCCGGAGGTTGTTGAGCTCGTCATGGTAAGCGATTGGTTGCACTTGCGTCCCGTTGAGTCACTCATCAAAACTCTTTGTGAGTAGTTCCATTAAGTTTGTATGAAAGTAGTAAGCTCGGTTGGGACAGCTGCATCTGGTGGTATGAGTGGTGGAGACGGTTGATGTTGTATGTCGTTGAGATCAGCTAGATATATTAGTGTAGCGTTGGGGTCTATTGGATTTCGTTGATTCTGAAGACCTTCTGGAATCTCTTTTCCACGTCGTTCAGGAGGTGGTGTTCCAGCCATCTTCGAGCTCCTTGACTTTTTCAAAAAACTTGTTCTTTATTACCCACAAATGGTGGAAACTGTTAAACTCAAATATCACTTATTGAAATAAACAATATTATTTTTGGTTTAAGAGTAAATCTTATTAATATTAGATGGAGCTCAAATGTTACAAGGAAAATTAGGTATTTAAAATAAAAGCGTTGATCAAATTTGAGAGCTAAAAAATTGAGTGCTAAAATCATAAAGCAAAACGTTAATCCTTTAGTTCGAGATTGAAATTGCGGACCGTTTGAACGATGAGGGGGTTCTATCTTTATACTTGCAGGGAGTTAGTTTTTCTTTGTTAACGCTGGTTGATTCATTAAAAAGATAAGGAAGATAGTTCACAAAGTGACACCATAGGCATCTTACAAGGCATATAGCCTCAAAAAAAAAATAGTAAAGATATAAATCAGACCAGACCAGAAATACATGGGTTCGTATGTGGTGACAATGATGGTTGTGACGATTTAGGCATTCCTATTGGCCTCCAAAGTGAACAGGAGTTGGAGCCACACAAGGCTTCAATGGCCAATGTACAATTGGTGCCGGTGGTCCCTGGTGATGCTCACTGCTATCTCTATGGTAGGCTGATTACTTTCGGTAGTAACGTAGTTCAAATTCCAAAAGTCCATATGTGAAAGATGGAAAAATATTTGGGACTGTAGAGTTTGATATTTGGGGGAAGAAGGAGGATATAGCATGGTCTCTCTTAACTAATGAAGAAGATTCGAAGATAATGTTCATTAGCTTCAAGGTGGCTGTTGAATCCACATCCCATAGTAGACTCCATAGATTAGCTTCACGAGGAGTGGTTATTGCGGAGTACAATCTTCTACTGTGAAAGCATGTATCCCCTCTTTAGTTTCTTACCAGCAAAGCCACTCCGCAACTCCTATTTGGTAACACCCAGGAAGCGCCAATATTGCATTTCAGCACGTTGTTAGATGGCATTTCCCAGAAACTTAGAGGATTTTGAGGTAAAGAGCAAAGATGATTCTTTATATGATCTAAGCAATATATCCTCAACCAGTCAACCTTATCATCTAGAGCTTTGGCGATAATCTATGTCGGTTGAAATTTGGTGTTCTAAGAAACCAAGGTGTTGCGGCTATTTCATAGCAAAGTAGGTGAGAAGCCAGACAGTGGTAGAGGAAGTCCTGATATTTTCCAGACTGTTTTTGCATTCCTGCATCCAAATAAGACATGCATATTATCTCCATTCCATCCCCACACATACTGCATGTGCCATGAACCGGAATGTTTCTTGATTGCAATCTTTCTTTAACAGTAGGAGCACCTAATAGAGCCTTTAACATGAAGTTTATGAGCTTTGGTGGAGTCTAGATTTTCCCGAGATTTTCCCACAGCTTTTTCTCAATTTGAAGCATAGTGTGAACTTAGGGGTTTTGTAGATCCCATTACTTTGCGACGAGTATTGACCATCTCTAGAAAATGCATTACCCTTGTCACATCTTCTGGCGAAAAGGTTTGATGTAGTAGGGGTTCATTCCATCTCTATGTGTGAGCATCCAACAAATTCAAAACTCTGAGGGTTAAGTCAATCACACTATCTTGTGTATACATCGGGGGTCTTGGTATGCCATCAACTATCCAATTTTTTGTCCATACGTTCGTATCTAAACCATCCCTAATAGATACAACTAACCCTCGTTTGAGTAGCTCTCACCCATGTAGAATACTTCACCAAGCATATGATGGTCTTGAACCAAATCTGCAATCAAAAAGGATGAATTGCGGAAGTAGCGATGTTTCAAGAACTGGGATAGCAAAGAATCAGGGTTTTCTTAGATGCGCCAGACTTGTTGTCCTAACAAGGTCTGATTTAAAGCAGCTTATATCATGGAACCCAAGACCTCCTTCTGACTTAGGTTTGAAAAGTTTTTTCTAAGCCACCCATGGGATCTTATTCCTGTCATTGACATTGCCCCACCAAAACTCTGTCATGATACTTAGCTTTTTACAGAGACCTTTTGGAAGTTTAAAACACCACATAGAAAATACTAGCAATGATAATCCTACAGCTTTCACTAATATCTCCTTTCCGCCTCGAGATAGTGCCTACGCAAACCATCCATGCACTCTGTTTTTGAGTTTCCCCTCAATAAAGTTTAGAAACTTAATTTTGGAGCCACTGAAGCTTTCTGGTAATTCAAGATATGAGCCCTCACTCCCTTCATTGTCAATACCCATACCTTTAGGAAGTTTAAACACAACATAGAAAATACTAGCAATGATAATCCTACATCCTTCATTAATATCTCCTTCCCGCCTTGAGATAGTGCCTATGCAAACCATCCATGCACTCTATTTTTGAGTTTCCCCTCAATAAAGTTTAGAAACTTAATTTTGGAGCCACTGAAGCTTTATGGTAATCTAAGATATGAGCCCTCACCCCCTCCATTATCAATACCCATGCCGACTTTGATCTCCACTTTGGCAATTGCTCCAATATTTGAGCCAAATATAATTGAAGATTTTGTTGTGTTTATGAGTTGGCCAGAGGCCTTTCAATAAATCTTGAGGCTCCGTGTTAACTCGTTGGCCTCTGCAACTGTCGATTTATACATGAGTAAGCTGTCATCCGCAAAGAGCAGATGATGAACCGTATGCCCATTCACAGCTAATCAAATACCATGAAAGAGACCCTGAGCCTCAGCTTGGTTAAGACAACTGACCAGAGCTTCATCATATATAGTAAAGAGAAAAAGAGATAGGGTTCCCCTTGTCTTATCCCATGCTCTGGCCTAATAAAGCCATGAGAAAGACTATTGAGCAGAACTGAGTATGTGACAATGCTGACACATGACATGATCCATTTGATCCATATGTGATCGAACCCCATTTTCTGCATAAGTGTTTCCAGAAAAAACCATTCCACTATGTTGTATGTCTAGGATATATCTGTTTAAATGCCATTTGTTTTCCACTCTTGGGTTCGTTCGTAGCCTATGAACCATCTCGTGAGAAGTGATAATGATATATGTGATGAAGCGGCAAG